CGGGTTCATGTGGCCCGTCAGCATAGGGGCGGGGATGGGAGATGTCCTGGGTGACTGGGGATGGGCAAAGATGGGTCTCCTTGGAGATGGCGGGTGAGGTTTGGGATGAAGGGGTGGGGAACAGAGGCTGGGACTGAAGGGATTTGGCTGGAGTGCGGACAGGGGCAGACTTTGTCGCTCAGGGTGTGTTTAAAGCAGGGGGCAGGGGCCGGACTGTGCATGTCACTTGCCCAAGTGGCAGATCCTACGTGGAAACTCAGATCTGGGCTCCTGGTCCACAGTTGTATCTGTCTTCCCACATGCCTCGGATTCTAAGTTTTGCTCTTTTCTCATTTTGTTTTTATTTACTTATTTTTGGTTTTGTTTTAAAGAGAGAAAAAATGGAACATGACAACCATTAAAGCCTTGGCAAAGAAACATTTCCTTTAGCCTCTTTTTTCTGCTCAGGTTCCCAGCTTTCCATGTGCTGGAGGCCTCCCATCTGCCGAGCTTCTCCTTCTCTTGAAGGCTAATTTTATGTGTCACCTCAGCTAGACAATGGTGCCCAAATATTTGGTCAAGGAATATGGGGGTCCTCGGCAGACACCCTGTTGCTGTGGAGGTTTTTTTTAAAAGGAAATATTAGCAGTTAAATTAGCAGTCTTGGAATAAAGCGGATGATTGTCCCTAATGAGGGTGGGCCACGTCCAATCAGTTGAAGGCCGTAAGACAAAAACTTTTCTTCCCCTGATGAACATGGGTGTATTAGTCTGTTTCTGTTGCTTATAACAAAATACATGGAAATGGGTGATTTATAAAAACTTAAATTTATTGCTTACAGTTTCTTTGGCTGGACGTCCAAAGTCGGGGGAACGCACCTGGTGAGGGTCTTGGTGGTGGTGACAGTGACGGCGGAGTACCACATTATGAAAATGGTGGAGCAGAGAGAGCAAGAGAGAGAGGCAGACTCTCCTCTCCCTTCTTTTAAAGCCCTCAGAACCACGCCCTGACCACCATTTCCAATCCATTCACTACTGCAGGGTCCTACAATCCAATCACCTCTTCAAGGCTCCACCTTTCAATTCCCAAAATAGGATTTCCCACCCCCTTAACAGCCACAGTGGGGGCCAAGTTTCTAATACATAAAATTTAGGGACACAATTCAAGCTTCAGTGAGTTTTGGGGGGACATAATTCAATTCACTACAATGGGATTCTGACAGGAGACTGCCTTGGGACTCCAGCTGTGACACGGACTGTTCCCTTGATCTCCAGCCTGATGGCCTGCCCTGAGGATTTTATACTTGCCAATGCCCACGATCATGCGAACCAATTCCTTAAATCTCTCTCTGTTTTTCTCTCTCTCTCCTGCTGGCTGTGTTTCTTGGGAGAACTCTAACACACTCATTCCTTACAGGTGTGCCCATCCATGTCACTCAACACCAAAGTAGAGGTTTAAGTCCATCTATGTTTGAGAATTATAATCCAGTTTATAGCTAATGGATATGTCCAAATGCTTGATTGAGAAACATAATCAAAATGTCGGTGCTGTGCACTCTGAGGTTCCCTCACAATGTCCCTTGTGTGCCCGTGTGGTCTCATGGAGTGTGACAGCACAGACCTGCCTGGGTGAGGCCAGTCCCTGAGAGGGGCCACAGGCTGGCCCCAACGTGAGGACACAGAAAGAAGGCACTTCTATGAACAGAAAGGGGGTCTTCACCAGACACCGAATCTGCCCCACCTTGATTTGGGACTTCCAGCCTCCGGACTGTCAGCTATAGACATCTGCTGTTTATAAGCTGCCCAGTCTGTGGTATTTTGTTATAGCAGCACGCACGGACTAAGTCAGAAGCCAGCTCTGAGTCTGAGGAGTATGTGCAAGTGGTTCCCAAGGGATGCAATGGGCAACAGCTTGTGGGGCTTGAATGGAAGTGACATAACATGAGTTTTCCCTTTAGGCTGCTGTGACAAATGACCACAGACTGGGTGGCCTCAACAATGGACATTTACTTCCTATAGCTCTGGTGGCTGGAAGTCCGAGATCAAGTCGCAGCAGATTTCTTCGTGTTTGTATCCTCACTTGGCAGAGAGAGCTCTATAGTCTCTTTCTCTTGCAAGGGCACTAATCCCATTCATCCCCAACGACCTCATCACTTCCCAAAGGCCCTGCCTCCTAATACCAAATTGATTAGGATTTCAACATATCATCTCGGGGCGAAGGGATGGGGGAACACGAACATTCAGTCCGTATCAGACTCCCTCCTGGGAACTGGCTTCATGCTGGAAATTGGCTGCACTCCTGACAAAGCCTCACTTGGCTGACAGGAAGAAAGAAACACCCATGGAGCTCTTGGACTGACCTAAAACAGCTGAAACAGCTGTGAGCCACCGCACTTGTGGCTGAACTGTTCAAGGACTCAGAATAAAGGAAAAACACCTCCCCCATAGGCAGTCTCACAGTCGTGTCTGGCATGGAGCAGGCAGGACCGAGACGCTGCATTTCCAACAGTCTCCCATGAACACAGATGTTTCCAGCCTCCCTCAGGCCACGCTCAGGATGGCAGGGCATTAACAGGTACCCAGGAAGATATGATTTTTTTACCCCTTCCCCACATGATAAGCCAGCACCAGGAGCACAAGGACCTCCCTGTGCCACGGATGTCCATGGAACCCCAGAGGTGGGTGGAAGCAATCCCTCCAACAGCCTAGGGAAGCCTGGAGCCTTCCCAGAATACTGTCCTTAAATGAGTAAAACACATGGGACTACAATGAACAACGGCTTTACTAAAACACCATTGTCAAAACATGTTAAAGATAAAATTTCTATTGGAGTGATAAATGTGCTCCTCTATTAATGCACTAATACCTAATTACTGCCATAATTCTGCAGTAGTGATGGGCATAAATAATATTTTGCAATATCTACAAATGCTGTCAGGTAACATGAAAATATTTGCAATTTACACTGATCACAGACACACAGGTCTACCAACATCACTGTGGTTTGTTGTCTGTATTCAGACTGGGAGGAAATGCATGTAGTTATTCAAAATAAAGACGCAATTTCTCCCCATGCAGTTCACTAACTGCTTGAATTAACCCAGGTTAAGCAGCCCTGCCTGAGAGATGGTCTAGTCTGAATCCCACCTTGGGAAGAAGACTGGGCTGCCCTGTGAACAAGAAAGAGCTCCTGGCACGGGCTGTGACAGCAGGGCCTGTGTGGAGGGCCCGTCTACACCAGGGCCCAGAGCTGGACAGAGAGGGCTTTACCCATAAGGCCAAAGCCCCAGCCCATTCAGCTGTGTGGCCGTGGCCTTTCTTAACACACAGCTTCAGTTTCCCATCAAGATCATTGGCCAGTGGTCCTAATACCTCAGCGTGTAAAGTGGTTGGAGGATTTGGTAAGAGCATTAATACCCGGGAAACACGTAGACCTGGACCCCAGGATAAGAACCCTCAGGAGTAAATTGACCACTGCCAGACCCAGGCTCAGTCAATCTGAGTAACCCACCAGGCTCTGCTGCGTTGACAAGTCAAATAATATCTTTGAGCTCCAATGGCTCTTCTTTAAAATGGGTGGCAATGTCACTTCAAAGAGTGCCACTGGGAAGCATAGATAAAGTAACATTTGCTGAAGTATTCCAGAAAGAATGACTACAATCCACATGGAAGGTGGTATTAATACATAGTAGCAGGTAACAGATATAAAAACTAGGGCCAATGGTAGCTGGGTTAAAAACAACAACAACAACACACAAAACCTACCTGGGTAGGGCATCTGGCAGCTTGCAATTGAAACACAGGTCAACTGAAATCATTAAGGAAATTCTGGGTCTAGGCAGCTACCACAGGGTGCAGAAGGGCATCAGCTGGGGAGAGGACAGCCACAGCCTAAGATGACAACCGCAGCCTCTGGGACACTGGAGGAAGCAGCAGGAAGGAGGCCTCTGAATTACTCTTTTTTTCTTTCAAGTCCACTTTTTTGCAGGCTGGCTAGTTTCTCCGTGTTCCTAGGGTTTCTTTAACTCCCAGGACTGGCTAACAGGTACCTGCAGACCTCTTAGCGACTGTCCAAGCTCAGACCTGGCCAACAGAGGTCTAAAATGAGAGGAGAATTCCGGAACAGTTCTGAGATTTGCTTGACCGTCAGCCATGAAGAGGAAAATTTCTTGTACAACAAGCAGTTTTTGTGTTCTATTAAAAACAGTTGTGATCCTTTTGCATGAATAATAATAATAATAATAATAATAATAATAATAATGGAAGCTGGCAGATTTTTTCATCCTTGCTTCTCTCTTCACAGGACTTTGCCACGCTCATTCCAACCAGGGCACACTGACTCTAAAGGTGCTCTGCTAAAATCCGGAGACAGAGCATCTGCTACAGCTAAGCCCCGGGGGCAGTTGCCAGATTTCGTTCATTCACAGCTGCTTCTGTCTAGTTAGGGTTCCTAGCTGTATAGTCTACAACGCAACATGGGGAGAAGAGGTGAGTTAACAGAGAGCTTTATGTTCTAGACGCGAGGGATTAAAAGAGGCTTTGGTGGAAGGGTCTGTGTGGAGGAGGAGGGTGGAGCCTGGCAGAATCCAGCATCCATCTCTCTTTTTTTGCAGGCTGGACAGGTGCCCCGTGTTGCTAGGTTTCTCAGCTAACTCCTAGCATGCGCTGACAGATACCCACAGACTTCTTGGCCAGTCTCATTTCCAGGGACCGGCTTCTGCTCCATGACGCACTCCCTCAGCTGGGACGTGACAGAGGACATCCCTTTCTCGCAACGAAAGCGCCCCGGAAGAATCGTTTCATCCGCTGCTGCATCCACGTCCGGCACCATCGAGTAAGACTGCAGGAGACTAAGGCACACATTGAGACCGTGGACCAGGCCCACATTGCCTGTTCATGCCAACGGTGGTTCTCCTTTTGTACCTAACAGTCAAGACAATTAACTCAGGTGCCAAGCTTCCCTCAGGGACTTCAGGGTCCCAGTGGCACAGATGGACGGGAGAGGTTAGAGGACGAGACAGATCAGCAGCCCTTCTCCCTATTTGGCTGGCTCTGAAAAGAGCACTTGTGCCCTCTGCGGGCCCCTGGAGGCGGCCGGCCGCACTTGCCCTTGGCCTTCTGGTGGCTCTCCGTCTTCTTCGGGAGCAGCACGGCCTGGATGTTGGGCAGGACGCCGCCTTGCGCGACGGTCATGCGGCCCAGCAACTTGTTGAGCTCCTCGTCGCTGCGGACGGCCAACTGCAGGTGGCGCGGCTGATGCGCGTCTTGTTTTTGTCTCGCGCCAGCTCCCGCAGCCCGGCCGCTAGGTGGCCGCGAGCCCCTTGTCACTCTGCTTGCAGCCGCCGGAGTGACCGGAGGGGCCTGGGGACTGTGGCGGCAAGGCACGGCGAGCCGGCGCTTTACTCCGCGAAGAGCGCGCGCTGGGGCCTTGGCACTGGGCCGTGGATGCTGTACCCACCAACGGGCTGAAGGCGCTCTGCAGCACGGGAGCCCCATTGGCTGCTTCAGGGAGTGGTTTGTCCAATCAGACGAGACCTAGAAAATCACCTCATTTGCATAAAGCTTAAAGCGCCCGTGTGCAGGGCGAAACTAGTGGGGTTAATGCCTGTCCGGAGCAGCCCGCATTTGCTGATAGAGCCTTGAAAGTGGCTGTGAGAGCGCACCCTGGGGACCAGACGACACTGTTTGGATTTTTGGCAGCTGGTGGTACAGGAATCTGAACTTGTGACCTTGGTATTTTAAGGTTGCACTCTAACCAACTGAGCTAACCTGCCAGCCCTGGTCTCCAAATTAAGATTCTTGTTAGAAAATAAAGCACCTCATCTTTGCATCCTTTGAGTCCTCTGACTGTAGGCCAAAGGTGCAGTGCGGCCTTCCCTTTGCCCCACGTGAACTTGTGGAGACCCCACTAGCCTTCCCTTGAGGAGGTGCTGGGCGGGTGCTGACGCTGGTCCTTGGACAACCTGCGGTGGGCACAGCTGCCCGCCTTCCCCAGCTGAGGGAGGCTGGAGGCCAGCGGGGCAGAGGCTCCCCAGCTGCTGGGACCTGGCCGCGAGTGTTTGAGGCCCAAGAAGTCAGGGAAGGGGAGCGCTGAGCCAGAGCGCAGTCTCCCGAGAAGACCACATTAGTTTACCCGCATGTTGGAAAAATGGAAGTGTTCTTGTTCATTTATTGCAGTGGACCCCACCTTTTCCTGTATGCATAGCACTTTAATATTCCAAAAACGTCTGAGCCTTCCCTCACCTATCCCACCCACGATTTGATAGGTGCTACTTACAAAACAAACAAACAAACAAACAAACAAAAAAACCCAAACAGAAGGACTTAATGTACCCTGGGACCTGATCTTCTTCCACAAAGAGAAGCCCTGAGCCAGGACAGCCCCAGGACAGACCAAAGAGCAGCTGCAGCTCCCCGCCCCCACTCTCTCTCTCCCTCCTGCGTCCTTTCAGTCTCGTTTTACTGTCATTTTTATTCCCCTGCTTCCCCAGTCCTCTCCCCCACTTCCCGCCCTGTTTATCTGTTTAAAGCGTCCTTTTAAACCACTAACTGTTGTTCTATGCGCACACCTTTTAAGTTTGGGTAAACGGTTCTGTGTTTTTCTACTTTGCTTCTTACTTTTGTAGGTATTTAGATTTCTATGCTGAAATCCTAACCCCCAATGGGATGGATTAGGAAGAGAGACCTTTAGGAGGTGATTAGGTCACATCGTTGGGGCCCTCGTGCATGGCATTAGCGCTCTTAATATGGGGACCCCAGAGAGCTCCCTCGCCCCTTCCTCCATGTAAGGACACAGAGATGATGATGCCGTCTGTGACTCGACCACGTGCCCTAAGGTGCCACCCACAGTGACGCCGTATCCTGCTCTTCTGCTTTGATCCTCTTTCTCCCGTTTTATCTTCTACCTCTCCATGGAAGGGTGCTGGGTGTCCACCGTGCCTGCCACCACCCCAGCAGTGCCGCCGACACCAAGTGTGCATCCCCTCATAGACCTGGGAGGGGACGGCTTTGGAATATAACACCCGGGGATGGAATTGCTGGGTCCTCAGGTAATCATGTCCTTATTTTGACCAAGTCAGCCAGCCAGATGGTGCTGCAGAATGTCCACTCCCCACGACGGCACAGAAGGCTGCAGCAGGGGAAGCTTTCTCATCCCCACCTAACAGGTCAAGGCATTGCTCTTGTGGGCGACCAATTTTTGTTGCTCCAAAAATCTAACGAGTTTGAACCCCTCTTCCTAGGCTGCCAAGCCTTTTTGGCTCCTGCTATAGACTAAATGTTCGTGCCCCTTCCCTCCCACATTTATATGTTGAAATCCTAACCTGAAATGGGGTGGAATTGGAATGAGGGGTCTTTGGGAGGTGACTGGGTGTAGCCCTTATGAATGGCATTAGTGCTCTTATAACAGGGACCCCATGCGAGGCCACAGCTGGAAGAGGTGGTGTAATTCAGTCTGAGTCCAGAGCCCAGAGAACCAAGAGTTCTGATGTTTGAGGGCAGGAAAAGATGCCCTCTATGCACCAGGAAACAGATCTTCACCAGACACCAAACCTACCAAGCCTTGATTTGGGACTTCCAGCCTCCAGGACTGTGAGGAATAAATTTGCTTATAAGGTATCCAGTCTATGGTATTTTGTTATACCAGCTCCTTCTTCATATCTTTGCCCATTTTAGTTTTTCATTCCATTTGTTTTTTGCTTTTCTTGATCTGCAGGAATTCCTTGCATAGTCTAGGTATTAACCACAGTGGTTTGGACACTGCAAATATCCCCCGATTCCATCTCTCTTTCTTAACTCTGGCTGTGAAACCTTTGATGGGAGGGGAGGTTCCCAGGCGTCCCAGCTAGGAGACAACAGTGCCACGAACCCCAGCACGGTAGCAGGTGGAACCATGTCAGGGTCTATGGCTACAGGAAGAGCCAACGGGATTCCCTTGCAGATCTAACATGGGCTGGCACAGGAAAGCACTCAGATGCCTCCTGCATGTGTGCATGAGAACTGGAAGGATCGGGCCCTTGGTTTACGATGGGGAGAGTATGAGGTGGACATTCAGAGAAGTTGTTGAGCAGGCAGCTGGACGTGGGATGGAGGGAGGGAGAAAGACCCATGGTGGGGAGGTGATGGAGAGACCACAGAACACACAGTGTCACCGAAGGGTGCCTGCAGGATAGACAGGGACCAAGCACAGAAGCCTTAAGTTCTTCAGCATGAAGAGGTCAGAGTGCAGCCCACCAAGGAGACGGAGGAGCATCACTACAGCAAGAGGAGACCCAAGCTGGGTGGTGCCTGAGGGACCCCGGAAGAAAGCCCATAAAGAAAGGAGCATCCCACACACAAAACTCAACTCAAAATGGATTAAGGACTTAAACATAAGACCCTGAAACTGGAAAACTAGCAGAAGAAAACATAGGGAAAAGGCTTCTTGACATGGGTCTGAGCAAAGAATTTTCAGCTATGACCCCAAAAGCACAGGCAACCAAAGCAAAAATACACAAATGGGATCGCATCAAAGTCAAAAGCTTCTCACAGCAAAGGACGCGACCAACACAGCGAAGAGACAACCTGCAGACTGGGAGATGTCTGTAAACTACGCACTGGATGAGGGGTCGACATCCAAGACATACAAGGAGCCAAAACAACTCAACAAATAGTCGGAAAAGAAATAACCCGATTAAAAAATGGGCAGGGCTGGCAAGTTAGCTCAGTCGGTCACTGCTGTGCCACTGAGGTCAGGCTTCAGATCCCTGCACTGGCCAGCTGCCAGAAAAGAAAGAAAAGAGGGCAAATGAGCTGTGGACATTCCTCAAAAGAAGACAGGCAGGGCCAGCCCGCGGCTCACGTGGGAGAGCGTGGTGCTGACAACACCAAGTCAAGGTTAAGATCCCCTTACTGGTCATCTTTAAAAAAAAAAAAGACATGCAAATGGCCAACAGGTATATGAAAAAACGCTCAATATCTCTAATCATCAAGGAAATGCAAATTGAAATCAAGAGATAGCACCTCACACCTGTTAGTATGGCTATTATCGAAAAGACAAAAGATAACGAGAGTTGGTGAGGATGTAGAGAAAAGGGAGCCCTGTACACTGTTGGTGGAAATGCAAATACATACATCAATTACAGAAAACAGTATGGAGGTTCCTCAAAAAATTAAAAATAGGGCTGGCTAAATAGCTCAGTTGGTTAGAGCACGGCCTTATAACCCCAAGGTCAAGCTTGCGGATCCCAATCCCTGTACCAGCCAGCTGCTGAAAAAAATAAACAAAAAAATTTTACAAAGACCTCCCATATAATCCAGCACCCCCACTGCTGGGTATATACCCAAAGGGTTTGAAATCAGTATGTCGAAGAGAGGGCTGCAGCCCCATGTTCATCGCAGCAGTGTTTACAATAGCCGAGACACAGAATCAACGTAATTGTCCAACAATGGATGAACGGATTAAAAAAAAAAGTGGTATATATACACCACGGAATACCATTCAGACTTAAAAAAGAAATTCTGTCACTTGCAACGACATGGTTGAATCTAGAGAACATTAAGTGAAATAAGCCAGGCACAGGAAGACAAATACTCATGATCTCACTCATGTGCAGACTCTGAAAAAGTCGAACTCATCGAAGTAAAGAGTAGAATGGCGGTCACTAGGGGCTGGGGAGAAGGGGCATCGGGCACATGGTGGTCCAGGGGTGCCAAGCTCCAGTTGCGCAGGACGAATCAGTTCTAGAGATCTCCTGTACAGCTTGGTGACTATAGTTAACAATTACTGTAAACTCGAAAACTGCCAAGAGTAGATTTTTAAATGTTCACACTACAAAAAATATGTGAGGTAATGAATATGTTAATTAGCTTGACTCAGTTCTTCCACAATATATTCATATATCAAAACATCACATCGTACCCAGATTTTTAAATGTTCACACTACAAAAAATATGTGAGGTAATGAATACGTTAATTAGCTTGACTCAGTTCTTCCACAATATATTCATATATCAAAACATCACATCGTACCCCATAAATATACACAATAAAAAAATTTTGTTTTTAAAGAAGGTTGCAATTGACAGGGTGGATGCGCTGACTCGTGAGTTTAGACGAGGATTTGATGAACTGGAGAAATTTCCTCCCAATCTGCAGGTTATCTGGCTGCCCTGATAAGAACAGTTTGGTGTCGGGAGAGAGTCTGTGTGTTGTCAGGTTGTGGCCAGGCAAGCATCGCGGGCACAGCACGGAGGAACGGCAACAGGCTGGGGCCTTACACTGGGGGAGAAGAGACCGAACCCCGAATAGATGGAAAGATGGTGAGGGATGGACCCAAGTCTCAGGGCTGGGAGATGGCTGGAGCAGCAACAGATGCTCAGCAAAGCTCGAGTCAGGCTCCTGAAGCTTCTCCTGGGGCCGTCTGTGCACATCCTTGTAAAATCCAGATTTAGCAAGAACCTTGTTAAGTCAGTTTAGCAACAAGCCCCCCACCCTCGATACCTGACCACCCTATATGTGATCAGGCTCCTCATCTGCCCCCACCCCCCAGGTGATGTCCGGTCACCCTGGCCTGTCTGCAGCAAGAATCCTGTTAGGCTGGTTTAACCAGAGTCCCCCTCACCCCTGATATCCCCGTTAGTGATTTCCATCCATGGACCCCCACCCTGCTCCTTGGCTGTAAACCCCCTCTTGCCCCTGCTACGTTCAGAGTTGAGACCAATCTCTCTCCACCTCTGTAAGACCCTGTTGCAGCGAGCCCTACGCTGTAAGCAATGGTCCTCAGTACAGTGCTCCCTGCTGTGCTCTCATGAGTGGCACTGAGTAATTGTTTCTTTAACACTGAGACCGGGAGGGGGAAGAGGCCATGTGGACACACAGAGACCAGAGGAGGGATGTGAATTAAACAAGCTGGAGCAATCCTACTTTATTTGGCACCAAGAGCCCAGCCCACACTCAGGGCAGGTGAGCCTGGCGGTCATCTTACTGAAGGCTGGGGACTTACGAGGGCTGAAGAGCTTCATCGGAGAACACCCCCCTCCCCCACCGCAGCCCAGCTCTCCCCAAACCGCCTGTTCAGGGCTGAATCTAAACATGTGTCTGCATCTACGTTTCCCAACCTCGAGATTCTGCCTACTCAGCGCTGAGTTTTGTCACATGGACTAATGAATCTATATACAATGGTGCTACAGGCCACCATGCTACTGCTACATCACAGGTTTTGCAAAATTCACCCACCAGAGGAAATACGATGTGAGAAAAGCCACAAATACAGCAAGATGAAATGCCAGGGTGGGGCCTGCAGCTGCCACCTGCCCACTGCTGCCGAAAGGGATCCCTTCCTCGAGGTGAGAAGGAGCCCAGGGAAGGTTCCAGGGATCCGTCAGCATCCGAGGGGCAGACGGTGAAGGAATGAGGGGCTCAGGCTGGGAGAGGAGGGGGACAGAGCCAGAAGTAGGAACACAGCAAGGCCCCCGGAGGAGGGGCCTCTCCCTTTCCTTTCCCTGCAGGGCCGGGTCCACCTGCAGTCAGGGCCCTACGTGTGCTGTCTTTCCTTGATTCTAACCCCAAACCCAACCTCAACAGGGACCTCCAGGCCTGGTGATGAGCACCCCATGGAAAAGAAAATCCCATGAAACAGCACTTCCCAGGCACTGTGTGGCAGATGCAGGATTGGGTCCCTGGGACAGTGAGCTGACATCCCCAGGGCAAAGGGCACAGCCACAAGCTACCAGGCATGTCAGTGATGAAAGAAAGAACCATGACAGGAGCTCTATGGAGAGTTGGGGATACTCAGAGTAGTGTCCCCACGACTACCTGTACTAGGAAATGTTCACAGCCCAAAAACATTCACAAGAAAACATCCACGCCGCAGCAAGGAAAAGGGAAAATGAACACCTTGTTGAAGCATGTAACCAGCTGGAACAACCACAGGTGGGGGCACAGCCAATGCTTCACCCCAAGTCCAGGAGCTCATGGTTTCCATGGAGATGAGGAGGGGCGGCCGGTGGGGGGGCTGCTGCTGCTGCCAGCTGTGGGAGGTGTCCCTTCTGCCTCTGCATCAGCACCATCACTGCATGGGGAGGGGAGAGGGAAAAAGAGACAGAGACAAAGAGACAGAGGGACAGAGACAGAAGGAGAGACAGACAGAAGAGAGGGATAAAGACAAAGAGAGACAGAGAAGAGAGATACGGAGATAGAGATAGAGACAAGAGAGACAAAGACGGAGACAGAGATGGAGAAAGACAGAGAGAGAGAGAGGAAGAGAGAACAGAGGAAAGAAACAGAGACAGAGAGACATCTGGGTCCTGGGCACAGCAAACCCAGAATGCAGGTGATCTGATGCCCCCACCTACACCAACCCCAGACCTCTATCTCCCCAAGGCAAAAGCCTCATCACCCCTGGAGGCCATAAGCGACTGAACCACTCAGAGCTGATTAATGAAACCTCTCAAACAGGCCACTGCTGGTCCCAGCCTTACAGTCTCGGCTGTGGGAAGCCCAGAGGGGGTCACTGCAGGACTCAAGGTTCAGGTAAGGCCCCAGGGCAGAGGGCAAAGATGCACTGAGGGGTGACCTGGCCACTCCCACCTTCGGAGTCCTGGAGCAGAGCTGTGGCCCTCGATGGTCAGCATTTGGGGTGCAAAAGTCCCCTCCCATGTGAAGGCCATGGACTTCCCACCCTCCTCAGCATAAGACCCCATCATATCGTGTTCCTTGACTGCCCATTCATACGTGAAATTCAGCCCGAGTAGGCCACAGCAGGTGGCAGCCAGGCAGAGGTTTTAAGCCTGGTCTTTGGTAACCACCCTGTGCAGTCTACAGCGTCTACGCTCCAATCTGACCACAGCCAGGAGGCGCGAGCGAGCAAACCTGCAGCAGCATGCTGAGCCCCAGGCCGCGGTGCTTCCTCTCCAGCTCTGACACGGCCTGCAGCAGGGACCGGAACCGCTCGGCTGGGTCGGACTGGTCGTCCTCCGGGGCGTCCTCCTCCTTCTCGGCCTCCTGCAGGAAGTGCTCCTCCTCCTCGGCAAAGAAGGCCCGCAGCTTCTTGTAATCAGTCAGGGCCTTCTTTCTACGGTCCATCACGTGTCCCTACAGGGCGGGCAGCAGAAAGGGTATCTGTGTCCTCAAGACCCCAGTGGACACCTTGTCCCTCACCCCCACTACTGCTGCCCCATCCCTGGAAGAAGAGAATCCCGTCTGCTCTTGTAGTTAAAAATATGTCACCCCGGGCCGGCCCTGCTCACTGGCTGAGTGCGGTGCGGGCGCAACACCGAGGGTTGTGATCCCGTTGCTGGTCCCCGGTACGGGCGCAACACCGAGGGTTGCAATCCCATTACTGGTCAATAAAAAGAGACAAAAAGGAAAAAAAAAATATGTCACCCCGGGCCGGCCCTGCTCACTGGCTGAGTGCGGTGTGGGCGCAACACCGAGGGTTGTGATCCCGTTGTTGGTCCCCGGTATGGGCGCAACACCGAGGGTTGCAATCCCATTACCGGTCAATAAAAAGAGACAAAAAGGAAAAAAAAAATATGTCACCCCAAAATATGCTGCCCTTGCGTTCTGGCTATATTAATTTAAAGGTCCTTAAATAGCAGGAGCAAGAGCACTCTGACCTTCATGCTGTTTCTTAAAAGCAGGAGATGATCCCGTGTGAAAGATACTCTCCTTATACCAAAAGAAACAACAGTCTTTTTTTCTTTTTTTTTTAAATTTTATGGGCAGCTGGCCAGTACAGGGATCCAAACCTTGGTGTTATCAGCACCACGCTCTAACCAAGTGAGCTCACTGGCCAGCCCCAGGAACAGCACTCTTATCATCGAGGATAAGAAGTCAAGGCCAAGAGAATTCTACACAGACCTTGTTAAAATAACTCTTGTCTATTAACCCTCCCACATGATTTACTTGTGTTTTCATAACTTACTAGTCTCTACTCAGTGTGTCACTGATTTGACTGAGTCTTCGTTTCCTTATGAGGGCTCCTGTGCCACATAAACTTGTGCTAAATAAATGTGCAAGCCTTTCGCCTGTTCGTCTGTCACATCGATTTAATTCTTGGGCCCTGCCTGGGGCCCTATTAGGGGAGAGGTGAAGTTTTGTATCCCTGCACTGTAAAATACTCAGCTGTGTGCCAAGACCCTGCTTGCCTGTTCGTCTGTCACATCGATTTAATTCTTGGGCCCTGCCTGGGGCCCTATTAGCGGAGAGGTGAAGTTTTGTATCCCTGCACTGTAAAATACTCAGCTGTGTGCCAAGACCCTGCTGGTCTCCCATGGCAGAGGGAACGGTGAATCCTTCAGCGTCTTTGCTGGGTCTACGGGTCTGTCTGGCATGTGACTTGAGTCAGAACACGCCCTCACCTTTCTAAAGACTTTCCCGACTGCACCCTCACCTGAACCCCACAACCTAAACACCACCCAATCCGCCTTCAACTAAAATGTTGCCGTTTCTCAGCCACCACTTAACTCAGATACAGGAGAGTGTGGCCGGATGCTGCTGACTTTACTTGGACTCACTGATGTCTTCGAGCTGGCCTTGGGCCACACTGTGCAGGTGACAACATGGTCATGAAAGGCCAACACTTATGTGGCTGGGAGAGAATACGAATGTCAGCTGCTGGCCCACGTGGGATACCGCAAACCCCTTCCTTTAAATTTAGAAGGCTTCTCTCTTAGCATCTCTACCAAAACCCCCCCAAAAAAGCCAAATTAAAAGTCACTATCTGCTAAAATTTGCGGGCTAAACAAGTACCTTGGGGTGACACAGGGTTACTGAAAAAACTGGAGGTCCCCAAAGCATATGGTCCAATAGGCATCATGTACACAATCTGTCACCTCTCTGTCCCTGTCTGAGGAAGGCCTACACTTCAGTCCTCCATGGAGTGGGCAAGGGCTGAGCTGGATCCAGAGCACAGGGCACCACCACAGTGGTAGGACCCACAATCCAAGAGCTTCTGTAGTTTTAAAAAGCACTTTGTTTTTATATGCTAAACAAAACAGGGTACAGAAGCTATAAAAATCAAGAAACCAGTACAGATTTTGCTATATAAGAGGAAAAAGTCACCAGAAAGAGTTTAAACTAATGTGTAGCTTTGCTGGCGAGTAACCTAAAAGAACTATAGTGTGACATTACCTTGGGGTATAATGCTGTGGAAGGCACCTGCTGTGGACCGATGTCCCCTCAAAACTTAGTCTCCACTGCAGTAGTGGAGGGTGGGAAATCCTATTACAGTAATCGAAAAGTGGGACCTTGAAGAGGTGATTGGACTGTAGGACCATGCCGTAGTGAATGTATTAATAATGGTGGTCAGGGGTGTGGCTGAGGGCATTAAAAGGAGAGTGAATGAGGAGCTGTCTGTCTCTCTGCTCCGCCATTTCTGCCATGTGAGTCCCCGCATTGCTGTAAAGCCACCACCAAAGAAGAACTCACCAGATATGTTCCCTGGACTTTGGACTTCCCAGCTTCCAAAACTGTAAGCAATAAGTTTCATTTTCTTATAAATTACCCAGTTCCAGGTATTTTGCTATAAGTAACAGAAACGGACTAATACAGAAAACTGGTACCAGAGAAGTACAATGTTGCTTATAACAAATACTTGAAAATGTGGAAACAGCTTTGGAACCGGCCCAAGATAACTTGTTTTGAGTAGAAATTGGAAGAATTTTAAAGAACAAGCTAGAAAAAGCCCAGCTGCTGGTGGGAGTTTAAAAGACAAGGAAAACCAGGGAAAATTTGGAACGTCTTAAAGAGTGGTTAAATGGCGGTGAGCAGATTGCTAATAGAAATACGGACTATACACGCCACTCCGAGAAGATCTCAGATGTAAATGAGAGGGGACTTATTAGAAACAGGGGCAAAGATCACCCTTGCTAGGAACTGGCAAGGAACTTGGCTACATTCTGTTCATGCCCAAAAGTTTTAATGTGGAACTTCAACGTGCTGACCCAGGTTATTTGGCAGAAGAAATTTCTAAGCAGCAAAGCATTAAGGAAGATGCATGGCTGCTTACAACAGCCTATGCTGAGACATGGCAGTAAAGGCATGAGGTAAAGCCAGAATTTACAATCCAAAGGAAAGCAGAGAGCAAAAAATTAGAAAACTTTCACCCTGGACACAAAGGCAAGGGTGTAGCCCAGGACACTTTGCTACGGAGATGAGTACAGAAGAAAAGCGAAGGGGAAAAAGGCCTTGAAGGCATTTCAGAGACCTTGGAGGCCGCATCTTCCATCATAGGCCCAGAGGCCTAGGGAGACAGAATGGTCTTGGGGAACAGGCCCACGGTGCCCTCCATGGGCTTGCTGCCCAGGGCCACGTTGGGAAATTGCTTCCATCACCCACACCCACACTCCAGCTGCTTTGGCTGGTCCTGCAGTGGAGCCCACGGTGCCCTCCATGGGCTTGCTGCCCAGGGCCACCTTGGGAAATTGCTTCCATCACCCACACCCACACTCCAGCTGCTTTGGCTGGTCCTGCAGTGGCTAAATTGGCCCCAGGTGTGGCTGGACCTGCACCTTTGGAAGCTCTAAGCCAGAAGCCTTGGCGGCGTCCACATGGTGTTAGGTCTGCAGGCTCACAGAATGTCAGAGCTGTGAAGGCTTGGGAGCCTCCACCCCAATTTCAAAGGATGTATGGAAAAGCCTGGGGCCCAGAAAGAGATTTGTTGCAGTGGTAGAGTCACTGCAAACAGCCTTCCCTAGAGCAATGCCAAGAGGAAATGCGGAGTTGGACGTACAGCAGAGAAACGCCATCAGCACCATGCCTAGTGGAGCCCTGACAGTGGGACCGCGATGGAGACCCCAGACTTGTGGAGCTACCAGAGTGGAACACCAGCCTGGGAGAGCAAAAGTGTGGACTCAGACTAGGAAAGCCATAGAAGCGGAGCTACCCAAGGACTTGAGGACCCAACCCCTTCACCAGTGTACAGAGGAGATCAAACACAGAGTCCAGATACATGATTCGCCAGCTTTGAGATTTAATGCCTGCCCTGCTGGGTTTCAGACTTGTTTGGTACCTGTTACCCCTTTCTTTTGGCCTACTATTTCTCTTTCCAAATGGGAATATGTATCCTATGCTTGTCCCACCATTGTATCTTGGAAGTAGATAACTTGTTTTGATTTCACAGATGAGACCTTGTGACTTTGGACTTTCGAGCTGAAACAAGTTAAAACTTTGGGGATGAAATGAATGCATCTGTGTTTGAAAAGGACATGAGTTTTGGGGGACCAGGGGCAGAATGCTGTGTATTGATGTCCCCCCAAATTTAATCCCCACTGTGACAGTGTAAAGAGGGTGGGAAATCCTATTATGGTAATTGAAAGGTAGGGTCTTGAAGAGGTGATTAGACTGTAGGACCCTGCCATAGTGAATGGAATAACAACAGGTGGTCGTGGGAGTGGTTCTGAGGACTTTAAAAGGGGAGTGCATGAGGAGCACTCTCTCTCTCTCTGCTCTGCCATTTTCTGCCACTTGAGACCCCTGCATTGTTGTGAAGCCACCACCAAAGAAGACCCTCACCAGATGTGTTCCCTGGACTTTGGACTTCCCAGCCTCTGAAACCATAAGCGATAAATTTTGTTTTCTTATAAATCACCCAGTTTCAGGTATTTATGTTATAAGCAACAGAAATGGACTCATACAGCCCTGGAAGGAAGCAGTCCTGCTATGGACTGAATGTTTGTGTCCCCACTCCAATAAACACGTTGAAAATCCTAACCCCCAAGGTAATGATATTAGGGGGCGGAAGCTTTAGAAAGCAATTAGGTCATGAGCATGTAGCCCTCATGAATGGGGCTGGTGCCCTTACAGAAGGACCCCAGAGAGCTCCCTCACTCCTTCCACCATGTGAGGACACAGCAAGGTGCTTCATGAACCAGGAAGCGGCTTCAGCAGACACTAAATGTGCCGCACCTTAATCATGGACTTCCAGCCTGCAGAACTGTGAGAACAAATGTCTCCTGTTTAAGCCCCCCAGTCTATGGTATTCTGTTATAGCAGCCCAAACAGACTAAGGCGAACACTTAGCAAGGTCTCCCGGGACACTGCTGGTTCTACTGGAAAATAACGGGCTGCTCTCAGGTGAGAACCGAGAGTACTACGAAAAGAGTTCTGTGTATTTAAAAAAAAAAAGGTGGATGCTGCAAGTCACCTACCAGTACAACGTGGAGAGTAAAGAGGCTTCCCACCCACTGTGGCTAGATTCTACTTGGGTTCAGATCCCGTACCCTTCAGCCACCAAACAAACAAAAAAAGCTCACCAGATTCTACTTCGGAATACCCCCAAACACATTCTAGAAAAATACCCTGGAGTTCATCAAAGTCCACTTAGAGGACCCTCCCCTGGGCAACCAGGCCAGGAAGTTGCTTGGCTTTGGGGGCCCGGCCTGCTTGGCCAGCTCCGTTTGTCCAGAGTCCTGCATCCAGGCGTCCCCTAGTTCACACAGACTCTGACACACCCACTTGCCTTCCACACAGCAGCCGCCGACTCTGCCTGGCCGTGCAGGTCCCGGGCGTCGTTTAAGTCCTTTCTCATGATCTCCACGGACCCCTTGTTTTCCTGTACAGAAAGGTTAGTTACTGGGTGGTGAGCAGATCTGGGTCCCCCAGCTTGGCCCTGTCTGGGGAGCCATCACACGGCTGATTCCACTAACAGTCTGACTGTCCCATAAACAGTCAGATAAAATGCAAAAAAAAGGCCTTGAAGATAAAATGCAAAAAAAAGGGGGGGTGGGGAGGGAGCGGGTAATCAGCTACAGCCACAAGCCTTTAAAAGGTGTCTGGTCTTTGCCCCTTTTCAGAAGGAGTTGGGTGCCCGAGCTAGGCGGCTGTTTAGGTGTGTTTCATAATTAATTCCGCGTTCGTGAACAGGCCCCGGTTAGTGTGAGCTCTGTCCGTACCACAGGCCTGTACAGACTTCCCTGCCCACTGTCCTGCCTGACCCAGAAGACGGTCGCTGTGCCCAGTGGGAGTAGCTCCAACCGCAGGAGAGCCCAGAAACACAGTCTGGCCCTCACCTCCCCCTGCTCATGGGTGGCACACAGGCGCCATCCCCAGAACGCAGAAAACAGCGCCTGGCACACGGCTCAGGCTCAAACGCGGCGCTAGCCTCTGTCATTTCCTCTAGTGGGCAGGGACCAGGCACGACTGTTGGCACTCAGGGACCTGGCTGTCTGTTCTTTCAGAATATCGCTGTCTCCCCACTCACCCCCAACAGGCGCACACCAGGCCCCTGCAACCCAGCAGTGGCCAGACTCTGATGGCAGGTACCACGCGCGATGGTCGAGAGCACAGCAGAGAACGTTCCAGAACAGGGTGGACGGGGGTAACCCTGAAGGGCAGCCAGGTGCGGGCCGGGTGGCCCAGCGGGTCGGGGAGAAGGCGGCCCAGTGGACACGCACTGGACAAGGGCTGAAGGCCTCATCCCCAGGACAGAAACTCAGGGCCTCACCAGCAGGGGGCGGGGGCTGCTGCGGTGACGTCACACCCAAGGAGCACTGAGGGGAAGTGGTCAATCTTTGGGAGCGAAAGGGGACCTAGGGAGCAGGGCTGGGACAGGGCACAGTTGGGGTTAGGAAGTAAGATGAAGGGGAGATGGGAGACGGGACACTGTCTGGACGTGGGGACGAGGACACAAGGCATTGCCGGGCTAGGGACGCTGGGGTGGGCAGGGGCACAGGGCACGGCCCGGAGGCGGGGACGCCGGGATCCCCGGGGAGGGCAGGGCACGCGACCCCCGAACCTCGGCGCACCTTGCCGCGCAGCGCCTTTCTCCAGCGCGGCTCCCACTCGGGCGGCTCGGGGCCCGCGGCCAGGCGGCAGGCGGCGCACAGCGGGCCCGCGTCGGCGCGACACAGCAG